CTATATAAACAGAAAACATATTTCTCAACTTTTTTGCACAAATTTGTTTACATCGCGACCTCACAACCGCAGACCACGTGTATGGGACCGTGTGGGCGAGCGGTTTGCTGATGTCAACATTGTGAACAGAATCCCGAGTGGTGCAGTGGTCTAAGGCACTATATCGCAGTGTTAGCTGTGCCACTAGAGATCCTGGTTTGAATCCAGGCTCTGTCGTAGCCGGCCGCGACCGGGAGACCCATGGGGTGGCGCACAAGTCGTCCAGGGTAAGGGAGGGAATGGCCGGCAGGGATGTAGCTCAGTTGGTAGAGCATGGCGTTTGCAACGCCAGGGTTGTGGGTTTGATTCCCACAGGGGGCCAGTATGAAGAAAAAAAATGTATGCACTCACTAACTGTAAGTTGCTCTAGATAAGAGCGTCTGCTAAAAAATAAAATAAAAATAAATCCCTCATGGTGGCAGTGGGGTTATGGTATGGGCAGGCATAAGCTACGGACAACGAAGAAAATTTAATTTTTATCCATGGCAATTTGAATTCACTGAGATACCGTGACGGGATTCTGAGGCCCATTGTAGTGCCATTCATCCGCCGCCATCACCCCATGTTTCAGCATGATAGTGCACGGCCCCATGTTGCAAGGATCTGTACATAATTCCTGGAAGCTGAAAACATCCCAGTTCTTCATGGCCTGCATACTCACCAGACATGTTACCCATTGAGCATGTTTTGGATGCTCTGGATCGACATGTACGTCAGCGTGTTCCAGTTCCCGCCAATATCCAGCAACTTCACACAGCTGTTGAACGAGAGTGGGACAACATTCCACAGGCCACAATCAACTCTATGCGAAGGAGATGTGTCACGCTGCAAATGGTGGTCACACCAGATACTAACTGGTTTTCTTTTTTTTATGTATCTGTGACCAACAGATGCATACAGTGGGGGAAAAAAGTATTTAGTCAGCCACCAATTGTGCAAGTTCTCCCACTTAAAAAGATGAGAAAGGCCTGTAATTTTCATCATAGGTACACGTCAACTATGACAGACAAAATTAGAAAAGAAATACAGAAAATCACATAGTAGGATTTTTTTATTAATTTATTTGCAAATAATGGTGAAAAATAAGTATTTGGTCAATAACAAAAGTTTCTCAATACTTTGTTATATACCCTTTGTTGGCAATGACAAAGGTCAAACGTTTTCTGTAAGTCTTCACAAGGTTTTCACACACTGTTGCTGGTATTTTGGCCCATTCCTCCATGCAGATCTCCTCTAGAGCAGTGATGTTTTGGGGCTATCGCTGGGCAACACAGACTTTCAACTCCCTCCAAAGAATTTCTATGGGGTTGAGATCTGGAGACTGGCTAGGCCACTCCAGGACCTTGAAATGCTTCTTACGAAGCCACTCCTTCGTTGCCCCGGGCGGTGTGTTTGGGATCATTGTCATGCTGAAAGACCCAGCCACGTTTCATCTTCAATGCCCTTGCTGATGGAAGGAGGTTTTCACTCAAAATCTCACGATACATGGCCCCATTCATTCTTTCCTTTACACGGATCAGTCATCCTGGTCCCTTTGCAGAAAAACAGCCCCAAAACATGATGTTTCCACCCCCATGCTTCACGGTAGGTATGGTGTTCTTTGGATGCAACTCAGCATTCTTTGTCCTCCAAACACGACGTGTTGAGTTTTTACCAAAAAGTTCTGTTTTGGTTTCATCTGGCCATATGACATTCTCCCAATCCTCTTCTGGATCATCCAAATGCACTCTAGCAAACTTCAGACGGGCCTGGACATGTACTGGCTTAAGCAGGGGGACACGTCTGGCACTGCAGGATTTGAGTCCCTGGCGGCGTAGTGTGTTACTGATGGTAGGCTTTGTTACTTTGGTCCCAGCTCTCTGCAGGTCATTTACTAGGTCCCCCCGTGTGGTTCTGGGATTTTTGCTCACCGTTCTTGTGATCATTTTGACCCCACGGGGTGAGATCTTGCGTGGAGCCCCAGATCGAGGGAGATTATCAGTGGTCTTGTATGTCTTCCATTTCCTAATAATTGCTCCCACAGTTGATTTCTTCAAACCAAGCTGCTTACCTATTGCAGATGCAGTCTTCCCAGCCTGGTGCAGGTCTACAATTTTGTTTCTGGTGTCCTTTGACAGCTCTTTGGTCTTGGCCATAGTGGAGTTTGGAGTGTGACTGTTTGAGGTTGTGGACAGGTGTCTTTTATACTGATAACAAGTTCAAACAGGTGCCATTAATACAGGTAACGAGTGGAGGACAGAGGAGCCTCTTAAAGAAGAAGTTACAGGTCTGTGAGAGCCAGAAATCTTGCTTGTTTGTACGTACAATGTGATTTTCTGGAGAAAAAATGTCTCAATTTGTCTGTCATTGTTGACGTGTACCTATGATGAAAATTACAGGCCTCTCTCATCTTTTTAAGTGGGAGAACTTGCACAATTGGTGGCTGACTAAATACTTTTTTTCCCCCACTGTATGTGTATTCCCAGTCATGTGAAATTCATAGATTAGGGCCTAATGAATTTATATAAATTTACTGATTTCCTTATGTAAACCGTAAATCTTTGAAATTGTTGCATTTATATTTTTGTTCAGTGTATATATTTATATATATTTCCACGCTATGAGATTGGAATAACATTTATATTTTAGTCAATTAGCAGACAGAGAGCAATTAGGGTTTAGTGCCTTGCTCAAGGGCATATCAACAGATTCTTCACCTAGTCAGCTCAGGAATTCAAACCAGCAACCTTTCGGTTACTGTCCAAACACTCTTAACCACTAGGCTACCTGCCTCCTCAATGATAATGTAATACACATACAATACTGTGAAATTGTGAAAATTATAATATTACAACACCCTTTTAGTGTAAGAGCTGTTTGAAAAGACAACCTGAAATGTCAATCTATTTTGGTGGGGTGGAGCTTTGGTCTTTCCATGGTGATATCACCATGGGGTAAATTAGTTAATAGACCAATAAGAAAGAGAGTCCCAAACCTCTCTGACAATGACAGCTAGTTTTCAGCTTTCCTCTCCACACTCAGACCACTCCAAAATTCTTGCTTGAGAAATTGTTCTTTGCTAAGAAGCTATTTGTTTTTTTTTTGACCATTTTAATTGAAAACTACTTAATTGTTACCCAGAAATGATTTGATATTGAGATAAAAATGGCTGCATTGGACCTTTAAGTGAATTCAACCTCATGGTAGCCTACTGATTTATTTGTAATGGGATATTCAGTGGGATAGACAATACAAGTGCTCCCACTTTTGTTCCAATGTTCTGACAGGTTAGTTGAAAGTAGGGATCTCTGCTTCAAGTCCCCCTTGAAGGGTTGTCCCTCCTCAATCACTGCTCTAACAGACTACTGAAATCATATGTTGAATGAGTTATTGTTTATGTCCGTTTATGTTTTTATCACGTACATGTTCTTACTTAGCTAGCTAGCTAGCTAGCTACACATTTCTCTTTAGGGATGGGGGTGGGATCTATATAGAAGTTAGTAGGGCTATTTTTTTGTTTCTCAGAAGTACTACTGAGTTAGGTAGGAGGACATAGAAATGTGGAGCTAATGTTGTTAACCGTGATTGAACACACACTCCAGCACAGTAGGTGGCGGAATGCAACTTTAACTTTTATTTGCGGACCGCCATTATTTCATAGAAGAAGAAGAAGAAGAAGAAGAAGAAGAAGAAGAAGATTTATCTTTCTTTTAAAAGTTGACCAACTGAAGTGGAAGATTCCCGGTGTTTGTGATGCTCGTCCGCAGACAGGGTGGCGTGAGTGGTGAAACAGAAGAGTCATTGTCTGTTCTTTTGAGTTTTGATGTTGAGTCTTTGCCCGACAAAGTGATATTAGGATATATAAGTTACAGTGAGGGAAAAAAGTATTTGATCCCCTGCTGATGTTGTACGTTTGCCCACTGACAAAGACATGATCAGTCTATAATTTTAATGGTAGGTTTATTTGAACAGTGAGAGACATAATAACAACAACAAAATCCAGAAAAACGCATGTCAAAAATGTTATAAATTGATTTGCGTTTTAATGAGGGAAATAAGTATTTGACCCCTCTGCAAAACATGACTTAGTACTTGGTGGTAAAACTATTGTTGGCAATCACAGAGGTCAGACGTTTCTTGTAGTTGGCCACCAGGTCTGCACACATCTCAGGAGGGATTTTGTTCCACTCCTCTTTGCAGATCTTCTCCAAGTCATTAAGGTTTCGAGCCTGACGTTTGGCAACTCGAACCTTCAGCTGCCTCCACAGATTTTCTATGGGATTAAGGTCTGGAGACTGGCTAGGCCACTCCAGGACCTTAATGTGCTTCTTCTTGAGCCACTCCTTTGTTGCCTTGGCCGTGTGTTTTGGGTCATTGTCATGCTGGAATACCCATCCACGGCCCATTTTCAATGCCCTGGCTGAGGGAAGGAGGTTCTCACCCAAGATTGTCCCTTTGATGCGGTGAAGTTGTCCTGTCCCCTTAGCAGAAAAACACCCCCAAAGCATAATGTTTCCACCTCCATATTTGACAGTGGGGATGGTGTTCTTGGGGTCATAGGCAGCATTCCTCCTCCTCCAAACACGGCGAGTTGAGTTGATGCCAAAGAGCTCGATTTTGGTCTCATCTGACCACAACACTTTCACCCAGTTCTCCTCTGAATCATTCAGATGTTCATTGGCAAACTTTAGACGGGCCTGTATATGTGCTTTCTTGAGCAGGGGGACCTTGCGGGCGCTACAGGATTTCATTCCTTCACGGCGTAGTGTGTTACCAATGGTTTTCTTGGTGACTATGGTCCCAGCTGCCTTGAGATCATTGACAATATCCTCCGTGTAGTTCTGGGCTGATTCCTCACCGTTCTCATGATCATTGCAACTCCACGAGGTATAAGGGAGTTGTCCTCCAGTCTAGTAGGTGGCGGTAATGCATAATTTATTGGCTGCCAACTGCCGTTAAATCTCATTGAAGAAGAAGAAGGTCTTCGTTTTAACATTTATTCGGTGCCATGGCGTCGATTGAGGCTTGGTTCATGGACGATTCTGACAAAGATCAGAGAATGCTGCATAAGCTAAACCCAAACGAACCTGTGTCTTTGGAGGAGTTAGAAAAGCTTGGGGTTTTCTACTGGAAGGTATCTAGCCAGCTAGCGAGCAAGGGATAACAACTTGATAACTTCAGCTATCAAGAAAAAGTAGTCAACGTATAGCTACTTAGTTATTCACGGTCAAACCCGTCTGGGAATGCTATTTTACACAAATAAATGTGACTAGTTAAATTGGATTGCGTAACAGTAGCGTCTGAGTTGCAAGTCTGGTCTCATAGACTAGACGTAACATAGTAAACGTTAATCCGGGACGTTCAAATTTGTATAGTTTACGTTTGGGATAATTAAGGTGGATGGGTAGGTTTATAACGCGAATGTCTAGCAATCCAAAGGTTGCGTGTTCGAATCTCATCAAAGACAAATTTTGTATTTTAGCTAATTTGCAACTACTTGCTACTTTGCAACTACTTAGCATGTTAGCTAACCTTTAACTCTTTAACATAACTCCTACCCTAGCTATCGTTAGCGCAACAAGTTGTAATTCGTAACATATTGTACGAGACTAGAGACTGACTGGTTGGTTCTGTACTGTCCATGTCTTCCAGTTAGATGCTGATATTTATGAGACAGACCCTGCGCTGGAAAAGATCCGTAAAGACAGAGGCTACTCCTACTCTGACATAATCACTATCCACAAGGACAAACTACCCAACTATGAGGACAAGGTAATACCTGCATACAGTGACAAGAACACATTTGAGTGTGCTCAGAGTCAGATTACAATTCATGTTTCACTTGTTATTCTGTATGCAAATATTAGACTTGTTATAATGGTACACTTGATAAAAGCACATGAATAAAAAGTGTCCTGCCATATGTGTACTCCTGTCCCCAGCTGAAGATGTTCTTTGAGGAGCACCTCCACCTGGATGATGAGATCCGCTACATCCTGGACGGCAGGGCCTACTTTGACGTGAGGGACAGGGAGGACCGCTGGATCCGCATCGCCATGACCAAGGGAGACCTGATCACTCTGCCGGCAGGCATCTACCACAGATTCACTCTGACTGAGACCGTACGGCTCCATTTGTCATTTGGCTGTCTACAACACCTACAGTAAAACTGTCCAACATGGAGGGGATTCGATTATCTGGCCAGGGTTGCCCTGTGGGAAGCATTTTCACCGGGCGAAAAGTGATTGCATTAGTTTTGGAACCGGGATTTCTCCCAGGCGTGAGCCAGGTGCCCCGCTCGTGGCCGACGGCAAAGTGACATAGGTTAAGTACGTGGAGTAATGAGTAGGATTCTGTGTTTTCACATGCAAAAGTGATTGCTTTTGATAAAAACACTATCTGCCTTCTGAATGAAAACTAGTAAGAAAACTTGTATGTTTCTGAACGATACACCATGCTGACTTGTTGACAACATGACCGAGCGGTGCAGATTACTGTTAGATTTGAGACTACTGTTCCATTTGAGAAGGGCGCTCCTCCCTCACCGCTTTTCCCTGTTGATATCACTGGCCATACAGTGCCTTCAGAAAGCGTTGATACCCCCTTGATTTATTCCACATTTTTTTGTGTTACTGCCTGAATTCAATTTTATTTAATTTTTTTACCCATCTACACACAATACCCCATAATGACAAAGTGCAAACATGTTTTAAGAAATATTTGCAAGTTTCTTAAATGAAATACAGAAATATCTAATTTACATACAGTGAGGGAAAAAAGTATTTGATCCCCTGCTGATTTTGTACGTTTGCCCACTGACAAAGACATGATCAGTCTATAATTTTAATGGTAGGTTTATTTGAACAGTGAGAGACAGAATAACAACAACAAAATCCAGAAAAATGCATGTAAAAAATGTTAACTGATTTGCATTTTAATGAGGGAAATAAGTATTTGACCCCTCTGCAAAACATGACTTAGTACTTGGTGGCAAAACCCTTGTTGGCTATCACAGAGGTCAGACGTTTCTTGTAGTTGGCCACCAGGTTTGCACACATCTCAGGAGAGATTTTGTCCCACTCCTCTTTGCAGATCTTCTCCAAGTCATTAAGGTTTTGAGGCTGACGTTTGGCAACTCAAACCTTCAGCTCCCTCCACAGATTTTCGATGGGATTAAGGTCTGGAGACTGGCTAGGCCACTCCAGGACCTTAATGTGCTTCTTCTTGAGCCACTCCTTTGTTGCCTTGGCTGTGTGTTTTGGGTCATTGTCATGCTGGAATACCCATCCACGACCCATTTTCAATGCCCTGGCTGAGGGAAGGAGGTTCTCACCCAAGATTTGACGGTACATGGCCCCGTCCATCGTCCCTTTGATGTTTCCACCTCCATGTTTGACGGTGGGGATGGTGTTCTTGGGGTCATAGGCAGCATTCCTCCTCCTCCAAACACGGCAAGTTGAGTTGATGGCAAAGAGCTCGATTTTGGTCTCATCTGACCACAACACTTTCACCCAGTTCTCTTCTGAATCATTCAATGTTCATTGGCAAACTTCAGACGGGCCTATATATTTGCTTTCTTGAGCAGGGGGACCTTGCGGGCGCTGCAGGATTTCAGTCCTTCACGGCGTAGTGTGTTACCAATGGTTTTCTTGGTGACTATGGTCCCAGCTGCCTTGAGATCATTGACAAGATCCTCCCGTGTAGTTCTGGGCTGATTCCTCACCGTTCTCATGATCATTGCAACTCCACGAGGTGAGATCTTGCATGGAGCCCCAGGCCGAGGAAGATTGACAGTTGTTTTGTGTTTCTTCCATTTGCGAATAATCGCACCAACTGTTGTCACCTTCTCACCAAGCTGCTTGGCGGTGGTCTTGTAGCCCATTCCAGCCTTGTGTAGGTCTACAATCTTGTCCCTGACATCCTTGGAGAGCTCTTTGGTCTTGGCCATGGTGGAGAGTTTGGAATCTGATTGATTGATTGCTTCTGTGGACAGGTGTCTTTTTTATACAGGTAACATTTACATTTACATTTTAGTCATTTAGCAGACGCTCTTATCCAGAGCGACTTACAGGAGCAATTAGGGTTAAGTACCTTGCTCAAGGGCACATCGACAGATTTTTCACCTAGTCGGCTCGGGGATTAGAACCAGCGACCTTTCGGTTACTGGCACAACGCTCTTAACCACTAAGCTACCTGCCGCCCAGGTAACAAGCTGAGATTAGGAGCACTCCCTTTAAGAGTGTGCTCCTAATCTCAGCTCGTTACCTGTATAAAAGACACCTGGGAGCCAGAAATCTTTCTGATTGAGAGGGGGTCAAATACTTATTTCCCTCATTAAAATGCAAATCAATTTCTGACATGCGTTTTTCTGCATTTTTTCTCTCTCACTGTTCAAATAAACCTACCATTAAAATTATAGACTGATCATGTCTTTGTCAGTGGGCAAACGTACAAAATCAGCAGGGGATCAAATACTTTTTTCCCTCACTAAGTATTCAATACATGTTAGAATCACCTTGGGCAGCGATTACAGCTGAGTCTTTCTGGCTAAGTCTAAGAGCGTTTCACACCTGGATTGTACAATATTTGCACATTATTATTTTTAAAATTCTTCAAGCTCTGTCAAGTTGGTTGTTGATCATTGATAGACAGCCATTTTCAAGTATTGCCATAGATTTCCAAGCCAATTTATGTCAAAACTGTAACTAGGCCACTCAGGAAAATTCAATGTCATCTTGGTAAGCAACTCCAGTGTATATTTGGCATTGTGTTTTAGGTTATTGTCCTGCTGAAAGGTGAATTTGTCTCCCAGTGTCTGTTGGAAAGTAGACTGAACCAGGTTTTCCTCTAAAATTTTGCCTGTGCTTAGCTCTATTCCATTTATTTGTATCCTAAAAAACTCACTTTTCACTCTGTCATTTAGGTTAGTATTGTAGAGTAACCACAATGTTGTTGATCCATCCTCAGTTTTCTATCACAGCCATTAAACTCTTAACTGTTTTAAAGTCACCATTGGCCTCATGTGGAAATCCCTGAGCGGTTTCCTTCCTCTCCGGCAACTGAGTTAGGAAGTATGCCTGTATCTTTTGTAGTGAGTGGGTGTATTGATACACCATCCAAAGTGTAATTAATAACTTCACCATGCTGAAAGTAGTATTTTATTGGGTGACTTTCACTTTTACTTGAGTCCTTTTCTATTAAGGTATCTTTACTTTTACTCAAGTATGGCAATTGGGTACTTTTTCCACCACTGAGGTAGTCATTAAAAAATGTTAAGCAAAGTTTTACTCCTGAAATTATTTAGGCTTGCCATAACAAAGGGGTTGAATACTTACCCAAGACATTTCAGCTTTTCGTTTTTAATTAATTTGTAAAAATATCTAAAAACAAAGTGGAATTGACATTATGGGGTATTGTGTGTGAGCCAGTGACACAAAATATCTGTGGAAAAAGTAGAGGGGTGTGAATACTTGCTAAAGGCATTGTAGACCGGTGCACCGCGGCTCAGCTTAATCGAACTCCCTCAATGTCTTGGTCAGGCCATGTGGTTAAGATAGGTTATGTACAACTTCTGGCAGTGTGTACATAACCTATGTAAAAATGAGAATGTCTAGAGCCATACTGCATGTCCAAGTCAAAAGTAAGATTTTTTAAATTTCAAATATAATAAAATTTGATTGTTTTTCCTCATTCATTTTACAGAACTACACTCAAGCCATGAGACTGTTTGTGGGGGAGCCTGTATGGAAAGCCTACAATCGTCCAGCAGAAGAGTTTGATATTCGCCAGAAGTATGTGAGCGCTCTCCAATGCGCTAAAGACAGAGCAACAGGTGATACTGAATGGATGCACATGTACCAGTGTCCATATAATTATAAGATCTCTATGACCAACCAATCTTCTAGGAACCCATTTAGTGGACTTGGATAATCAAAGACTCATGACAAAGGCTTTTGTTGTAATATCAAGTATTTAAACCCATGCAGTGTCTACATTGTATGGAATTATTATACTAATTAACACCACTTTATGTATTTTACCAACATTATATGATTTTGTCTTTATATTGTAGAATGTATTGCACAACTAAAGGCCACATTCTATTTTTGTAACACTACATCAGTGAGAATCAAGTCTAGTAAGCTGTTTGTTACCTACAGTGAGCTAAAATGCCAGTAAACTATCACATATTAAACCACTCTTCAATAATTTAGTTGTCTATCTTTTCATTCTTCTATAGTAATTGATCGTCACAAGTCTGTTTGTCTCAATCAATAACCATGGTAAAAGGTCAACACCAAGTTCAGTTTATTTAGATAAACAACATTCCTTTTCTCATATCTAGAGCAATACAGTACACAAACAAAATCAGGTCAACATGTAAACAAGCAGTTATACTTAAGAGATCATTAGGATAATTCAACAAGTCATTTTAATGAAGTAATTTAATACAATAACACTTTTTACATTAATATATTTTCCCTACTTATAATATATGTACAGTTTTTAATTATTCATATCTATTTTACATTCCTTTTGTTTTGTGGAGAGGGGTGTATCCTGAGCCAAGTCAATCATTGACCCTCAATTCAAAAGTTACAGAAGACCCTTTAAGTGTGGTTGATTTTACAGGACAAAGTAACAGATCAGGGTAAAGTAACATGATTTCAGGTTGATTTACACAGGTGTTAATCACACAGGAATACAAAATGTCTGCCTTGTCTAAAAACATTGTACTGTATGTATTCACATACATATCCTATCAGCATTCACTTGTGATATTAGTGTTACACAATCATGATCATTTCCATCACTACTAGTATAATATGGGGAGTGGATTTGCCTGCGCTGTGAGGACAGTTGTGTGTGCCTGAACTGGAGTTCAGGTAGGGTAATGCCCATGTTGTTTAGTGGAGTGTAATGACACTCAAGCCTAGGCCGCACTCCTGATGGCCCCCTGTTCTTGCAATTGTTTTGTTCTAATCTTGTGACCTACAAGGGTCCCATACCTCCCTGGTTCCCTCTACACCAGTTTGAGGCACTGTGTGTTGAAGCTGTCTCCCTCTCGGCACGCCACTGACTCCAGCAAGGCCTGTTTCTTCTGGGTGGAGCGGGAGGACTCCAGCTCGTACATGGTGGTCAGGTTGAAGAGGACGCTCTCGTGGAGGTACAGGGCTGGGTCCTGTTGCACCAGGCCCTCCAGCTGTCTCAGGGACTCCTTCAGACGGCCCAGGTACAACAGGCACACTGCTGCATTGTTATTCGCCTGTAGGGGAGAGGAGAGAGAGTGGTTGTTGGCCTGCGGGGAGAGGAAGAGGCCAGAAAGTCCTCAGAAGAGAAGGGAAAGCAGTGGTATTACTCTACTGAAAGGAGAAAGGTACCCACATAAAAAATTATACAGTTTACAATAGAATACTTTAGTACTTACTATAAAATTCTATAGTAAACTGTAGAATACTATACTACTGTAGTATCCCTTGATCACGTGTAGTGCTTACTTTAGAATTGTGTAGTATACTGGAGAATACTATATTTAATACTACAGTATTATCTGCAAAAAACACTGTAGTAAATAGATGGGTTAGCTGATAATGTCATGATACCGATGCACACGCTTCAAACGGGGCAGACGTCCGTGAGTTGTTGTGATTCTGGATGGCTAGATAGCTCCCAACAATGACAAGAAACTGCCATGTGGAGAATTGTGATTTGTTTCAGATAGTTTCATCTTGTTCTTGATACCACGTCTTGTTTTGAGGTGTTTTGACTGATTTCATGTGCTAATATTGCAAAAAAAAATCGCTAGCTAGCTAACCAACAACTGTAATGATGTATTTGAGAGACAAGTGCTTCTTGTGCAAATGTATTTATGTTTTCAATAAACATTGGAGACTAAATATAGTTTACATGTCAACAGTCTAAGCCAACCACGTCTGTTTTGCCCCATAGTTGTGCACGCATCGGTTTTGTTGCTAAACAACCAACCCATCTATACTACAGTAATGTCCGCCAAAATATGTAACTATAGTAATACTAAAAAAATTAAAATTGCATATGCATTCCCCATATCCAAATTTGTGCCACCCATGAGTGAGAAACCTACATGCCAAGTACAGATCATATTGTGTTCGCTATAGGTTATAGAAAGGAGCAGAAGCTCTGAACCATCAGTTCAGACTCCAGTCCTACCTACATTTTATGCAAAATTTGCTCTTAGTATTTGCCCAGTAGGTTTCCTCAAGGAGAAAGCCCCTACTTCTATGTCAAAGATAATAAAACAAAACACACTATAGTAAATACTACAGTAAAATCCACAAAAACACTACAGTAATTACTATAGTATATGCTATAGATTTTACTACAGTATTTATACTATAGTAAACTTTACAGTCATGTCCACAAAAACACTACAGTGAATACTATACTATAGTATATAAATATAGTAATACTACAGTATTTAGCGCATAGTATATTTTAATATGGGTATGTCGGCATAGAGAGGGGAGAAAGCAAAAAGGAGTTATTTGCCTGCAGCTAGAGGAAAGAGGGCATATGTTTGAAGAGAGGAGAGGGGACAAAGGCTTGAAGAGAGTGGGGAAATGTTATTAATCTACAGAGAAGGAGAGGAGAGTAATTCGCCTGAGGAAGAAAGGAGAAGAGCTCTGCACAGAGGAGAGAGAGGGAAGAAAGGCGTTATTTGTCTAGGGAGAAGACACTGTTATTGCCTAAGGGGAAGAAAGGGAGGCTGTTTTCTTGCCTGAGGAGAGGGGAAATATCATGCAGTCGAGGGGAGAGATCTGCCTCAAACTAGCGTGCATTCATTCATTTACAGTCTCTAGGAAAGTAAAACTTCCGATGTATCCTAGAAAATGTGTTTGTCTGTTAATCAAGTATAGTTGTCATAAATTGTTGTAGATTGCGTGATCACATACCACTGGGTTTTTGGGGTCGATCTTCAGGACCTCTGCGAACGAGGAGTGTGCCTCTGAGTAGTTGTTCTGACTGAGGTAGATGAAGGCCCTGAACCACACAACACACACACACAGGTCGGCTGGGTTACTACAGAGACCTATCTCATTACAATGATTCTGTGTGAAGATGTGACAGTCGGCCAACTGACAGGAATTAACAGCTAATGTGAATCAACACAGTGTGAATGGCACCATTTTGTCTCCTAGCAAAGCATCACAAAGTGGCAAATAAAAGTGTGACCCCTGTGCCTACTTACACCCTACAACTGTGAAGGTAGTCTGATAGAAGTACAGATAAATTAATCTCAGAAATAGTTTCATTATTTATGACACACACACTGATTCGTACCTGTTCATCAAAACGCATGTGTCTATAGTTCCACTTCCCTTCTCTAGAGAGGCTTTCTCCACATCTAGGAAATACTTCTCGGCTGTTTTAATGTCTCCAATCTGGTCAGAAATAACAATTAAAACCAAAACGCATTATGTTGTGGAAAAAATAGTTGTAATTGATAGAGATAGGTGTGTGTGTTCACCTGCAGGAATATGCGTCCTATCCCACTCAGCAGCTGCACTCTCTGCTGGGGCTCGTACTGGATGATGGAGTGATATGTCTCTACAGCCAGAACATAGTCCTAGAGAAAGAGAGCGAGAGACACACACAGAGTGGGAGAGAGAGAAAGAGAGAGGGAGAGAGAATTAATCAAGTGTATTGACCATTAGTAGGGCGAGGTGTCCCTGGTCACACCGTGCCCCAGCCATGGCTGTTCTCTGCCACACATCACATCGCTCACATGCTGACTGAACTGCTGAGCTGAGCACGGCTGCTATGTATCTGGGGATGGGAGAGGGGTCGGGTCAGTGAGTTGGTATGTGTTTACATCCATGCTACCACCAGCAGATGGCACTGTGTCTCTCTCTATGGTCCCCGTACAGAACACACTCTCCCACTTTCCCTCTGTCCCTCTATTTCTCCATCTCCCACTAACAAAGAATCCAATCAGCGTGATCCTATGGGATATTACTGGGAAGCCTGTGGTCTGCCATCATACATCTACAGACCAACACAAACAACATTTACACACAACTATCACTAGGAAAGAACAAGCAACATTATTAGACAGCATTCTCTAGTAAAGTATAGAGCCCTCAAACTCAACTCAACACTGCATTTCTTTCATTGTTCCCCTCTAATCATGGACTGATTTAGACCTGGGACACCAGGTGGGTGCAATTAATTATCAGGTAGAACAGAAAACCAGGAGGCTCCGGACCTCGTAGGGTAAGAGTTGAATAACCCTGGTATAGAAGTACATTAAACATGATGAATGCCGTCTTCATCAAAGGAACTTGTCAAATGTCTTGTGTGTGTGTGTGTGTCAGGTGAACACTGGGTTACTCTGCATCTGTCAATGACATTACAACTCCAATCCATGATAGATCAACCAGAATGGTGGTTCTGGTACATGATAGCTTTGGGTTTCACCGTTTCCTCATTTGGTCTAGACTCTGGGTGATGATATTGAAGAAGATGTTTTGAACCGGCAGAACAGACACAGTGTCTTGGTGCAGGATATGCTCAGGCTAGCATCCACCTGGCTGTTCCACTGTCAGCATGTGTCTAGACAGAGGGCTGGAATGAAGAGGACTGAACCAGACAAACAGCATCTCTCCTTATATAATACAACACACACCTGAAAATAATTCTCCTAACACACTTACTCACTATGCACCAAAACAATGCTGCTAAAACCCAATAAGCCTTTATTAGCCATTGAAATAGAACACTAGTCACTTTAATAATGTTTACATATCTTGCATTACTCATCTCATATGTATATACTGTATTCTATAATATTCTACTGTATCTTAGTCCATGCCGCTGTCATTGCTCGTCCATATACAGTGCTATGAAAAAGTATTTGCCCCCTTTCTAATTTTCTCTACTTTTGCATATTTGTGATACTGAATGTTATCAGATCTTCAACCAAACCCTAATATTAGATAAAGGGAACATAAGTGAACAAATAACACAACAATTACATATTTATTTCATAAACAAAGTTATGCAACACCCAATTCCCCTGTGTGAAAAAGTAATTGCCCCCTTACAGTCAATAACTGGTTGTGCCACCTTTAGCTGCAATGACTCCAACCAAATGCTTCCTGCAGTTGTTGATCAGTCTCTCACGTCGCTGTGAAGGAATTTTGGCCCACTCTTCCATGCAGAACTGCTTTAACTCAGTGACGTGTGGGTTTTCAAGCATGAACTGCTCGTTTCATGTCCTGCCACAACATCTCAATTGGGATTAGGTCTGGACTTTGACTAGGCCATTCAAAAACTTCAAATTTGTTGCTTTTTAGCAATTTTCATGTAGACTTGATTGTGTGTTTTAGATCATTGTCTTGCTGCATGACACAGCTGCGCTTCAGCTCACAGACGGATGGTCTGATGACCACATGACCTTCTCCCATTCCTCCTCTGGATCATCCAGATGGTCATTGGCAAACTTCAGATGGGCCTGGACATGCGCTGGCTTGAGCAGGGGGACCTTGCGTGCGCTGCAGGATTTTAATCCATGACGGCGTAGTGTGTTACTAATGGTTTTCTTTGAGACTGTGGTCCCAGCTCTCTTCAGGTCATTGACCAGGTCCTGCCGTGTAGTTCTGGGCTGATCCCTCACCTTCCTCATGATCATTGATGCCCCATGAGGTGAGATCATGCATGGAGCACCAGACCGAGGGTGATTGACCGTCATCTTGAACTTCTTCCATTTTCTAATAATTGCGCCAACAGTTGTTGCCTTCTCACCAAACTGCTAGCCTATTGTCCTGTAGCCCATCCAAGCCCTGTGCAGGTCTACAATTGTATCCCTGATGTCCTTACACAGCTCTCTGGTCTTGGCCATTGTGGAGAGGTTGGAGTCTGTTTTGAGTGTGTGGACAGGTGTCTTTTATACAGGTAACGAGTTCAAACAGGTGCAGTTAATACAGGTAATGAGTGGAGAATGAGTGGAGAACAGGAGGGCTTCTTAAAGAAAAACTAACAGGTTTGTGAGAGCCGGAATTCTTACTGGTTGGTAGGTGATCAAATACTTATGTCATGCAATAAAATGCAAATTAATTACTTAAAAATCATACAATGTGATTTTCTGGATTTTGTTTTAGATTCCGTCTCTCACAGTTGAAGTGTACCTATGATAAAAATGACAGACCTCTACATGCATTGTAAGTAGGAAAACATGCAAAATCGGCAGTGTATCAAATACTTGTTCTCCCCACTGTGTGTGTGTGTGTGTGTGTGTGTATATATATATATATATTTTTTTTTGCTCCTGAACTACTTCTACTCTCAACCTCTCCGATCATTTTCATGATGTCCATCCGGTTTGCTTCTATATGCCATATCTTTCTAACTGTGCTCTTTCCCAAAAGCTCCCAACATACAACCTATATACTTATTATGGACACAGTATGCTTACATTATTAGCTATCTTTGTTATTATTTGTTGTTATTTGTTATTAGTCCCATCCTTCAACTCTATTCAATACCTCCCATCTATCTCTTAACACCATCCATATAGGATTTCTATTTGCCATATTTATTTCAACCGTACTGTGATGTTTTACAAAAGTTCTGAACCTTTCTATTCTCATTGCTTCTACAGATTCTGAATTAAAAATAAACATTTTTGCTAAAAGTATTATTATATTTTTGATTGATTGACTATGACTTTTCAGATCACCCAGTAATGCTATCTGCAAGGTTAGCTCCAGGTAAATATTGCAATCCTTTAGCCATTCCTGGACCTGTGTCCAAAAACAAGCTACAAATGGACAGAACCAAAACAAATGATCTAATGATTCTGTCTCTTCACAGCAAAATCTGCAGAGCTGGGAAGATTGTATCCCCCATATAAATAACATTCTATTGGTAGCAAGAATTTTATATAATAATTTAAATTTAAAGTTAAAAATGTTTGAATCCGGTGTCGTTTTGCGTGTCAGTTCATAAACACTATGCCATGGGATCGGTACGTCAAAGATCTCTTCCCAACTATTTTGCAATCTATATGGGATGCATGTATATATTCTTAATTCCATTCCTTACTCAGATTTGTGTGTATTGGGTATATGTTGTGAAACTGTTAGATATTACTTGTTAGATATTACTGCACTGTTGGAGCTAGAAACACAAGCGTTTCGCTACACCCACAATAATATCTGCTAAACACGTATGTGACAAATACAAATTGATTTGATTTGTCTGTACATGTGTCTTGCTAGTCGTTATCCATTCCTCTAACTCCCTCCGCTAGCTTCCTGACAGCCATGGACGGGCATGTGTGTGAATATGTGACTGGGCATGAAGGAATGTGTGAAAGCATGTGTGTAAGTACGTCAATGAATGTGTGTGTTAGAGTTGGTGTGTGTATGCACATACACACAGAGGGGACTATGGTAGCTCTGTGCTGCCGTTAGTCCCCACCCCACACACCCATACACAGAACACATACCTTCATCATGAGCAGACAGTTAGCCATGGCGTACATGACCCGACTCAGACGAGACCTCCACAGCTGAAGAGATGCTGCAACACAGGAGGACACATTGGTTTCATTTCAGACCTGTTGATTTATTTATCTGGGCAATTTTAGCATTGTGGGACCATACATTTATTCAATATTTCACTGTACAAAAATAGAGTTGACTATAACACATAGCAGAAGCATGAAAGAGGAAATTCAGCACCCCCTTCCATTTCTCTCTCATCGCTCTATCCAACTACCCCTCCCCTCATCACACTAGTATTTCCATCACCTTCCAAACCATCATTATTTGTCTGAGAAGAGAGGGAAAGAAGACAATGCAACTCCCTCTCCCACACACTCACTCTTTCTATCCTCAGGCTGATTGTATAGGCTGTCAGTGGGCTTGTTTGCACTCATCTGCAGCAGGGTGTGTGTGTGTTCATATGCGTGAATGTGTACGGACCGGATTGTGTGTAGTGTGTACAGACATATCATTGTGTGTGTGTATAACTGTAGGAGTGTGTAGTGAACCTGTGTGTGTGTGTGTTCAGCTGACTGAGGCAATCACTCAGTGGGGGTCTATTGAGATGCGCAACTCTTTGTTATTGAGTGCGTAGGAAGAGAAGCAGAGAGAGAGACTGACAAAGGAGTGTGAGATGCAACTACCAGATCCCTCTGCATCTGAACAGTAAGTTGAACCAATTATTGAAAAGTTTTGGTGCACTTAGCCATGTCTTATGTATTGATTGATTTGTCACGACCCAAAACCAACTGTCTTAATGATCTATGCCCATTTAATAAGTTCCTTTCATATAAAACAAAGGTCTGACAGCAAATTAGTGGATCACTGGGAAGAGGATGGTTGAGGTTGATGCGAATAACACTGGGTATTGAGCGTGGGTTTACACTAGTCTGTCTGATAGTGTGGGATGGGTGGGAACTAGACACTGTGTTGTACCTTGTCTGTTCTCCTGGGTGAGGTTGATCATACTGCCGTCCTCAGCCAAGCCCTGCTCTAGGTTATCCAGGATCTACCAGGAGAGACAGAGTTTTAAAAATGGGACACACTGTAACAAGGTAGTCATTATTTTTCAATGCATCACTAACTTTATTGGAAGAAAACAAAAGCGAGAGAGGACACGATAGAAAGTTGGTGTGCGTGAACTCACGGTCTGACAGACGGTCCTCATGCTGTGTAGTCTGTCCAGAGACTCCTGTGGTTTCCCCAGGTACTGAGGCAGCTCTGCATGCAGCACCCGCATTGAGAACGGAACCATGGAGCCTGAGAGAGGAAGAGAGAGAGAAGAGAATCTTCACACATATGTCATTTTCAAACTCCCACAGATGAAACGTACAGATGGCGTTGAGAAACGTGTGTTGCAAAGCAGGAAGCCTCTTCTCTCTAACACTCTCTTCCTCTCTTTCTCCATCTCTCTACCTCCCACCCCTTTCTCCTCTCCCTGAGGAACGAAGGCCCTACCTAGAGGTGAGCAGTGATACGTGTGCCTGAGCTTTGAGCCTTTTATCTCTGGGCTCTTTGATAGCTACAGAGAAAGCACCCTCTCGGTCTGTCTGTCTGTCAGTCTCTCTCTCCCTCTGTCGGTCTGTCTGTGTAGAGGTTCTCTGGTAATCAGCAGCACCCATGAAAACACCAACGACTCCTCCATCTACAGCTTTACAGTGATGTCACAGAGAGAACATCCATGTTCTGGAGTAGTAAGGGTCAGGGGTTAAACTCGTTTCATCCTGATGACTTAAAGAAACATCTGACCTGTCGGCTTCGTGTAGAATGAGTGAACTAAATGAAAGTACATCCCATCATTTAGCGAGAACCTATGACTTGTTGATGCAGATAAAATAAAATAATAATTCAAGTTACCTTTAAAACAAATTAATAACCGATTCCGTTTTTTTTACACAGTATATCCTGCTTGTTGTTTGAGAGGAGATGCTTGGCGCTCACTAATGTTCCTTCTAAGAGTTAGATCATGGATAATAGATATTGGATGGGGGCAGCAGACCTTCAGATGTTAATCTTTTATGCCAGGCAGGAAACTGTTGCCAGTATCTGGAGGCACCTGGGGCAGCACAAAGCATTTCATATTGAGGAATGGAAATTCAATCTGCTCTCCCCTTGGACAGCTGTATGGTGTAGCTTCAAGCGTTCACCTCGGTTCTCTCTCTCTCTCTGTGTGTGTGTGTGTGTGTCCACGGCCATGACTCTACAGCGATTGCCTCTACTATAGTAACCCCTAGGGCTGTAAAGACTAAAGCAATGGCACTACATCAGAGAGCTGTTCATGCAGAGTTAAAAGGAAAAAACAACAGTGGCAATGAAATAAAGTGTTGTCTTTGGTTGTTAGCAGGGCTGGGGTATTTCTATGGTTTGATCAGGGCGTTTGGTTATTATTTTAAGTATAGATGGTGTGTGTGTGTACCTCTCCTCCCAGGGTATACGGTAGGGTAGTATTCATAGTAGAGGTCAGGTTGGTCCACGTTTCCAAACGGCTCCAGTTCCATTTCAGCATTCTGGAACAGGCTCAGCTTGGTGAGCAGGGCCAGGCGAACAAACCACAGCTGCAACAACACACACATATATATAGAACCTTAAATATATGTGTATGCATATCAGGCCGCTCCTGTCATCCTGCGTGTGTTCCTAGCCTGTTTCCCCCATCCTCTCTGTGAATGTGTGGAGTGGTGTGTGTTTGTCAGCCCACTCTTGTCATCCTGAGTGTAATTCATGCAGGCAGCTCCTGGCTTCCACCCCCATTCTCTCCTCTCCTCTCCTCTCCTCTCCTCTCACGTTAGACTTACCTCTATTCCCCAGACAAACTGTACCGACACTTAGCTACATACATGAACAGATACATGACAACACACATAAACCACTCTCACACATACAGACATGTGCACCAGTATTGCACTTGTATTGCCAAAGACAAACAGAAACATAGACAGACAGACAGACAGGTACCTGTAGTGAGTCAGTGGTGTGGCTGGTGGGCTGGCCAGCCTTACCGTAGCCCTGACCATGAGCTGTCAACAGTCTGCCTGTCAGGTCCACCGCAGCACGCCAGTTCTTCGTGCTCTACAGGGACAGAGGAGCCGTTCAACAAAACCAACACACAAGGTAAGAGGACAGGCACACACACACTGGACACAGTGACCCCTAAAATCAACCAACCAGAGATGCCAACCATAGCATTGTCAAGTGAGTTTATGACTGGTGGTATTAGGGGTAAGGGCCGGGGCAGCCAAAGACAGGGGACTGAGGGACATAAGAGGGTGTGTATAGTTGAGCCTCCCAATCAGTAAGGATGACAAGGTCAGCCCAGAGATTGGGTTTTCACTGCACGGCCATTCATCACAGCCAGCCACCTAATTAGGTAGCAGAGGATTACACATAAAACAGAGAGGGGGGAGGGGGGGGGGTGAAATGAGAATAGAAGAACAGAGAGGGGAAAGGAAGGCAAGCTAGATCTATTGAGTGAGTGAATAGAGGAGAGAGAGCCCAGTCACAACAGACAGCTTTTTCCTATACTGGAGCACATGTGGTGTTCCATCATGGGAGATTACACTGGGTTGTCACTAGTTAACACAGGCACAAAGTCATAATTATGGCTAATCCCAACCCATTTATTTTTATTTTAAACCTTACGCCTAAATTCTTGTAGCCAATTTTGACTTTGTGGCTGTGTTAATTAGTGATGACCATTTCACTGGGACAATGAAAGACATCCTTTCTCCCCCCTCCTTTATCTCTTTTCCTCCCTTGCTTTCGCTCTCACTCTTTCACAGATACAGTCCCTCTCCCCTTTAGCCTGTCCCCTTCCTCCATGCCAGTGTCCCTGGTGCCTCTAAATCTTAATTAGTGGGTGAAATGAAGCTGAAAGCGAGAGGCATGGAGATGGCCAGAAGCAGCTGCAGCCACTGAGACAGAACCCACGGCAGTCCCCGGACAATTTTCGGAAAGTTACCAGAATTTTGCAAAACTATACTGTACATACAGTGGGGAGAACAAGTATTTGATACACTGCCGATTTTGCAGGTTTTCCTACTTACAAAACATGTAGAGGTCTGTAATTTTATCAAAGGTACACTTCAACTGTGAGAGACGGAATCTAAAACAAAAATCCAGAAAATCACATTGTATGATTTTTAAGTAATTAATTTGCATTTTATTGCATGACATACGTATTTGATCACCTACCAACCAGTAAGAATTCCGGCTCTCACAGACCTGTTAGTTTTTCTTTAAGAAGCCCTCCTGTTCTCCACTCATTACCTGTATTAACTGCACCTGTTTGAACTCGTTACCTGTATAAAAGACACCTGTCCACACACTCAATCAAACAGACTCCAACCTCTCCACAATGGCCAAGACCAGAGAGCTGTGTAAGGACATCAGGGATAAAATTGTAGACCTGCACAAGGCTGGGATGGGCTACAGGACAATAGGCAAGCAGCTTGGTGAGAAGGCAACAACTGTTGGTGCAATTATTAGAAAATGGAAGAAGTTCAAGATGACGGTCAATCACCCTCGGTCTGGGGCTCCATGCAAGATCTCACCTTGTGGGGCATCAATGATCATGAGGAAGGTGAGGGGTCAGCCCAGAACTACATGGCAGGACCTGGTCAATGACCTGAAGAGAGCTGGGACCACAGTCTCAAAGAAAAACATTAGTAACACACTACGCCGTCATGGATTAAAATCCTGCAGCGCACGCAAGGTCCCCCTGCTCAAGCCAGCGCATGTCCAGGCCCATCTGAAGTTTGCCAATGACCATCTGGATGATCCAGAGGAGGAATGGGAGAAGGTCATGTGGTCTGATGAGACAAAAATAGAGCTTTTTGGTCTAAACTCCACTCGCCGTGTTTGGAGGAAGAAGAAGGATGAGTACAACCCCAAGAACACCATCCCAACCGTGAAGCATGGAGGTGGAAACATAATTCTTTGGGGATGCTTTTTTGCAAAGGGGACAGGACGACTGCACCGTATTGAGTGGAGGATGGATGGGGCCATGTATCGCGAGATCTTGGCCAACAACCTCCTTCCCTCAGTAAGAGCATTGAAGATGGGTCGTGGCTGGGTCTTCCAGCATGACAACGACCCGAAACACACAGCCAGGGCAACTAAGGAGTGGCTCCGTAAGAAGCATCTCAAGGTCCTGGAGTGGTCCGTATTGCCCAGCAACAGCCCCGAAACCTGAAGGATCTGGAGAAGGTCTGTATAGAGGAGTGAGCCAAAATCCCTGCTGCAGTGTGTGCAAACCTGGTCAAGACCTACAGGAAACGTATGATCTCTGTAATTGCAAACAAAGGTTTCTGTACCAAATATTAAGTTCTGCTTTTCTGATGTATCAAATACTTATGTCATGCAATAAAATGCAAATTAATTACTTAAAAATCATACAATGTGATTTTCTGGATTTTTGTTTTAGATTCCGTCTCTCACAGTTGAAGTGTACCTATGATAAAAATTACAGACCTCTACATGCTTTGTAAGTAGGAAAACCTGCAAAATTGGCAGTGTATGTCTCCTGAGTGGCGCAGTGGTCTAAGGCACTGCATCGCAGCGCTAACTGTGCTACTAGAGATCCTGGTTCGAATCCAGGCTCTGTCGCAGCCGGCCGCGACCGGGAGACTCATGGGCGGCGCACAATCGGCCCAGCGTCGTCCAGGGTAGGGGAGGGAATGGCCGGCAGGGATGTAGCTCAGTTGATAGAGCATGGCGTTTGCAACGCCAGGGTTGTGGGTTCGATTCCCACGGGGGGCCAGTATAAAAAAAAAAAAAAAAAAAAAATGTATTCACTAACTGTAAGTCGCTCTGGATAAGAGCGTCTGCTAAATGACTAAAATGTAAATGTAAATGTACTTGTTCTCCCCACTGTACATACCCTCACACCACCCTTAGTATATCAACCATATCCCATAATGTAGTGGCACCAAGTCGCAAGTCGGCTTGAAAAAGAGCACCACCTGTTGGCCGGTGGTCTCCGAAAGAGGTGCCGGTTTAGTATTGGCAGTAAGAGGACTGATAATGACCAGCAGAAGACAGGGATAGCCTACAATTCACACTTTATTTCCCACCCAATACAGGCACACACACACACACAACTTCACAAAGGAGGGAACTATTGGTAATGTAGCCTGTAAACAATGGGGACCCATTCCCCACCTCTGCTCCCTGCAGGGTGAGGTAGGCAGAGTTGGGGGCAGGTAGGCTACCTGTTTCAAGAGTTAGAGAGGGCTGTGAGTTAGTGTTCAGGAGAGGGACTCTAAGGGTTTTCTACAAGGGGTCGTTCCACCTCAAAAAGCACAAGAAAGATGATTGACACCCACCATCTAGATGGCTCCTAAATTGTTTCTGTTGTTAGAAACAGAAAAGATGTAGCATTCCTGCAACTGATACTCATTGTTGGGGTGGGTTTGGTGTGGGGGGTGGGGGATCCATGGGTGGCTTTTGACCATTTAGATTCCTCATGTCTAACTCATTGTTAGAAAAAACGTTAGGTCCAAATCCGACGCTAGGTACTATATTTATTGATATTATATGAATCCTATAAATTAAAATGTCTAATTTGGGTGCAATCAATTAGCTTAATTTCTCAGAGATCAAATTATTTTCCAACAAAATAATGTTGCAGGGATGCTAATCTTATGTTTCTAACTACAGAAATGATTTCAGAACAATCTGAGATGGTGGGTGTGGAACGACCCCAAGGCTAGTGACTGATATAAGTGAGTGCCACCCCACCCATGCATACCCAAACACCCAACATCATCAATAATAGAATGGTGAATCCCAGGTGTGAGTCATTTCAATTAGAAGAGATGGAAGTGTGATATGGCATGATTAATATACTGAACAAAAATATAAACGCAACATGTGACAAATACAATTTTGATTTTACTGAGTTACAGTTCATAGAAGGAAATCAGTTAATTTAAATAAATGCATTAGGCCCTAGTCTATGTATTTCACGACTGGGAATACACATATGCTCACTAACAGGGATGTAAACAAATTTGTGCACAACATTTGAGAGAAATAAGGTTTTTGTGTGTATGGAACATTTATGGGATCTTTTATTTCAGGTTATGACACATGGGACCAACAATTGACATGCTGTGTTTATATATTTTTCAGTATAATTTAGCTCCGCTCATATTACTCTGCAATAAGTGACAATCAGATCCCCCTAAATCAAATGAGAATGCATTAAGATAGATAAGGTGCTGATTATATTGGGTGTTATTTAATGAGGAAATGCAGATCAACACAGAATGTGTACTGAGCAGGGCCACAGTGCAGGCCTAAATTAACACTCCCGTCTCTCACACTGGGGAAGGAAGTGGATTAGCCACAGTTTGCATGCATCGTGTTCGCACACAAACACTGGGAGGCAGGGGAATCAACTTCATTTCAGCTCATCCCTTTTTATTCACCTGATTTAAAAGGTTCAACAGAAGCCCTTGTGAGTACTACAGACGTGTGCATGCACTCATGCACGCACACAGCTGGGGGAGAGATAACCAAGAGGATGACAAGTCAGCTAGTGTCAGATCATGCTCTGTTTGACTAGCCACAGTTCTGAGGGGCAACAGCGAGTGACTCCAGAGCCAGTGAAACCAATCAGGCCTTGGGCACCCGCCAGGGAGCTCCATCCCCACCCCATAGGAGAAGAACAGAGAGACTTCACTACAGCCTACTACTTCAATAGAATATGACTGGATTCCCTACTCATACAAACACACATAAACACACAAGACTGTATTTGCAATTAGCAGCATCATGGGTTTAAAAGGGGTGAGGATTCTTAATTGTGTTGAAGATCACAAGTTCAGAGATTTTCCTTTGGTGAACTAAAAACTCCCTGAAGCAAAGCTCACTGCACACCCACTGCAAGGGCTCTCGTGAGACGCCAGCCTCCAGCCAAACACAGTAGAAAGGCTACTCGCCCTGTTGTGGGCCCTGTTCTGCCTAACAAACTAAGCTCCTGTGCCACCTCAATTTAGCCCCAGCATTTTGAATTAATACAGAGTGCAGAGACAAAAGAAAGGCAGTATGCAAAACACGCTAGCATCTCTAAGGCGTTTTTAGTGGCTAACCTGTCTGATGGTTTGTTGAAGGGCTGTAGGCCTTGTATCAGTGGCCCTGAGTGCCAGTCCAGGGCTTTGCCTCCAGGCCAGAGGATGGACTGACTTGCTGACTGTTCTAAAGACCATAGGAGTTTATTTTTGAAGGGATCCAGACATCTAGAGCCCTGGGACAATAGAATCGATAATATGCGATGTAACTTTGTGAAGTAACTAGCTTAGGGATTGCATAGCAACTCTGTATAAACCTATAATGGCTGTCTCTGGGAGAGTTCTGAACAGAGCTACTTTGGGTGACATCAGTCAGTCACTGATAGACAGTGTTTGATGACATTGTCCACAGATGGATTTAAAGGCCTCATTCTCCCTTTACAAAACTCTGTACCTAGCTGTATCTACATGGCCAGTGCTTATGCCCAGGACCAGCGCTGAAAAGCACTGACTGCTATAGCCTACGACAAACCGCTGACACAGCTAGTCCAGGTCTCGATGTTGTAATGGGTTGAGTTAATGACAACTCTGCTGCACACCTTCAGGTAGCTACTGTATAATGCAGGTCATTGTGGTTACAGAGTGGAGGGAGCATCAAGGCCAAGGCTGACCCAGCCAAGGTGGGAGGAAGGTGGGGATGATGCTAATCATAACTCCCCCGGCCTCCTTCCTCCACTGGACATATGGCCCCGGCACAGACAGGCCCCAGGCCCAGACACCAGCACACTAGGAGGAGAGGGAGGTCATCAGCCCCAGAGGAAGAGAGTGAGAGGGATGGAGAGAAGGAAGGAGAGAGGTGGTTAATCAGAATGACATATTAGCCAGGCCTGGGCCCTGCTGAGAGAGCGGGGACGCTGACCAGCCACAGGGAGAGAGAGGAGACAGGTCACTGGAGGGAGAGAGATGAGATAAATATAAGCCCTTGGCCAATATCACTATGGGGAGAGAGAGAGGGGAGACAGGTCACCAGAGGGAGAGATGGAGACAGAGGCCATGGGTAATGCTGAGCAAGCGGGGGCATTGGCCAGCTGACATTGGCCACAAGAGACTGAGGAGAGACAGGTCACAACAGCCTCAGAGGAAATGAGGAAGGGATGAGAGCGAGGGAGTGAAGAGAGAGAAAAGTAAAGTCCCTGAGCCCTGCTGAGCAAGAGGGGAAATGCTGACGAGCCGACTCAGGGGAGAGGACAGACAGGTCACTAGCTCTCAAAGGAAGGATAGAGAGAGGGATGGGAGGGAGAGAGAGAGACACCCTGAGGGATAGAGGACAGCTAACCAAGCAGAGAGAAAGAGGACCTGGCTCTCCCTCGAAAACACCAACATTCTACAGGATTTGGGTCAGTTCCATTTCAAGTCAATGTGTAGCTATGATATTTGGACTCAGTTATTGTATGTACAGTTGGTGTTAATAACATTTTAGCTGCGCTGTGGATCAGTGGGGGATGGGGAGAGAGAGAACGCAGCATCTGTTCTCAAAGCCTCGCTCTTCTCCACAGAGGCTGTTTCCTTCTTTTTATCCCTCGCTTCCCCTCCCCTCATCTCTCTTCTTTCCCTGCCTAATAGCTCTCTTCTTCCCTTCCCATCTCTCTTGTCCTTCCTCCATCTCTCCTCTCCTCTGTTCTTCCCTTCCACAATCTCTGTGCTCCTCCCTCCATCTGTGATAGCCAGCATTTGTGTGTTCTCTCAGAGGGAGTGTGGTGGCAGTAGTGTGGTGGCAGTAGTGTGGTGGCAGTAGTTTGGTGGCAGTGGGTGCAGTCACACTCTGGCACTGCAGCATGAGTCACTGCCAGCTCCCAGCAGCCCCCAGAATCAGGATGGAGTACACACACACACTGACAAAGACACACACTACACACACGCCAGAGGGAAGACTCACACACATCTCTATACAGCCACAGGGCACATCTAATTAGTTACTACAACCCCAGGGTACACATAGCTGTACACACACACACACACACACACACCACACACACACACACACACACACACACGCGTCAGAGTTTCTGATAGCCGATAAATAAAATTGGCGCAAGCCAATTGTCTGGGAGAAGAAAAAAAATCCCATTGCAAGATAATGCTTTTTAGCCTATTCATTGATGGAAATACCACTCAACGTAAATACATTTGACCGGTCATGCTTATCGTCTATAGATTAATTTGCATAATTTTGAGGAATTCAATTGGTGAGTGTGTACTTTCGTTAGTTGTTATGATTCTTATTTATCACACGTGCAGAGCACACAGATAAAGAGCGGGAAATCTGTCAGACAGCACGAGAGCTGCTGCTAAAGATCCTGTTGCTGCTGGAGTGAACATGTGCTTTAAAGCCCAATCATTGCACAATTCTAAATGCAATCGCGTGTTAAAAACTGTTTTGATGGCCACGATTAAAAAGAGCTACTATTTTTATTTCTCAACTGGTATTTGAAGCGCACTTCCCATTCGCCATTCAAGTGCATAGACAACGGTAGGCATGCTAGTTATTGCATCTTTAGAGCTCCAGTTTTTCAAAATTTCTTATGGATATTTTATCTCTGTCACATGAAACCACTTGCATGTGCAGTGAGGTTTCGACAACAGTGTTTTCCCGCTAATTGCATTATGGAACAAATATTTGTGCGTAGGCTACTGCCGTGTGCACATCGCTGCGCTTATAATGTGAAGAGATAATATCTGATCAACATTTTAAGCTAAACGTTCTGATCTGTTGCATCAGCCTCGTTGCTTTTTAAAGTTTTTTTTTGATGTACTGGTTGTATGAATTTGGGCTCTATCGTACTGCAACTGTCCCAGAGTCGGTTTGGAATAGTCAATTTCTTTCTCGCACAGAACGACAAGCTGACCAATACAATAGGTAAACTTTTCTACTATGGGGGGATAGTTGACAAAAGCTTGCTGTTCTTTACTCATCTTGTTGGCTGAGGAAAAGTAAGTGTGGACAGTTATTCTACCAAGTGAACATGGGAATTCAGTAAGTTCTGTTAAGATGAATTACCATAATCTATACATGGGTCTTTCTATAAACAAATGGGGCCAATGTGTGACATTTAGATAAACATTTCAAAATGGTTTGAAACAAAAATAAAAAAGATTTTCATGCAGTTCCGAATGTGTGAAAGTGAATATATGTAAATTGGCCCATAACTCCAACTATACAACCACATAGGTCCACAACCACATACATCCTTTAAGCAGGGCTAATATACATTGGCAAATCAAATTCTAGGATTTTAGGGACTTTTCCAAGCACTTAATAGTAATTTTGAAGGACCTCAATGTTATACAATTGTATAATTTATATAATTATACATTTAGGGCATAGTATAGTATAGAACCCCCCCTTCCCCATAAAGCATGCAAAAAGTGTCAAAAAAGTAGGCCATTACCACTAACACACACCTTGCCAACATACACTGAGTGAATGGAAAAACAAACCACCCAGCTGTCTCAAATTCAGTGCAATCAATCATAACTTTTGATCAGTGTCAGGTTGACAGGCTGGAGCTGTGAGGGCCACAGTGGAGGAGCAAAGGCCATTGACATTTCAACAGACCTGCCTCACTCACAATCTCTGTGTCTAGTCGTGGCGGACTGCAGCCCACTGCCAGGTGCAGAAGGCCTTGAAATATGAAAAGAGCTCCCATGCATTAGACATCAGCAGCGAGAACTCAAAAGCCTGGAGTCTCTGTCTCTCACTCACTCACTCACTCACTCACTCACTCACTCACTCACTCACTCACTCACTCACTCACTCACTCACTAATTTCCATGCTTTATGGAGGGATAGGGGAGACAGGTGGGTGAACCAGAGAAATGATAGGCTATTTTTGGCCCTGCGCTATTAACAACCATTCAATGAGGGTGGTGAGGCATACTCTAGGTAGTCATCATAGAAAGGGTATCTATCTGCTACATGCAAACAGCAATTTACACCCTTCTCTCACGGAATAAGTACAAATGCAAGTGTTTTCTGTGCAACCTATTGCTTTCAAATGGAGGGGAATGCAAAGGCAAAAAGATTATGGGTAAACCAAGTTTCCAACAAGGCTGTTACATATAGATGTATAAAATACCTGTTCACACAAACACATTAACATGCACGCACAGTGACTCACAATGAGTTGTTTGAGGCCCAGGAAGGACTGCTCTACTGAGTTGGCTGTAAGGACCTGTCTCTTCATAGCTGCCTGCTCCCCCATTAAACGCACCATCAGGTCCTTCACAGCATCACCCTGAAACACACACACAGGACTGGTCAGTGGTCATAATCAGTTAGGGCCAGGAGAAAATGACTAGATATCAACATGTATGGAAACCCAGCTCTATGGGCAAATGGCAAGCTAACCCACCTGCAGGTTGTCAAACTTGAGTCCGGGCATGGCCAGTCTCTCCCTCTCCACAAACACCTGGCTGTACTGCTGCGTTGCCATGGAGATCAGCACCTTCCTGGTCTCCTCAGAGGGCAGCCAGGCGTCGTACCTCTTATCAGCCTCACTCATGCTCAGAGCTGTGGCAAACGGGTCGTCTCCCCCCGAGAACACTGCCTGCAGCTGGGTGAAGGGCTGAGGAGGGGCTGTGGCCGGGGCTGTCTCTACTGGAGCCTGTTGAAGAGGCCTGGGGGTGGCTTCAGTCTGGGTAGGCCCAATAAAGGAGCTAGGGGTGGGGATGCCGGACTCTGTAGGCCCAGGGGTGGACAGAGAGGACCCAGAGGAAGCAGAGAGCTGGTGTTCAGGTGGGGCGGCTGACTTTGGGGACTCTGCGTTGGGGTTGCTGACAGAGATGAAGGAGGAGGAGGTGGTGAAGGAGTCAAAGAAGTCAGTAGCCGGGTTGACATGGCCACTGTCAGAGAAGAACTTGCTGAGGCTGGGGCTGGGCTGGCAGACCAGGGGAGCCAGCTGACTGGGGGTAATCTCTGTGCTCCCCCCAGTGCCACTACTGAAGCTGGGAGATTTGATTAGGGTAGGCTGGAAGCCGTCCGGCACCAGGGCCTGGGCTTTGAGCTGGCTGCCCTGGCTGAAGATGGTGCACACGGGGATGGTCTCATCCTGGGATGTGGTCCCTTTGCTGCTGGCCTCCAGGGCTGCTGCCTCAGGCTTGGGGCTGCCTGAGCTGGGGGTGCTGTCCTCTGGGGTTACAGCAGAGACAGAGACGGTGACAACGTCCTGATCATCAGTGGTTCGCTTCTGTTTCACATCCTCCAATGGTTCCTCAGGGCTAGAGGCTACTGGACTTGTCTGCATCATCGCAGCCTCTATCTTGATCTCAGTAGTGTCTTGTCCAATCAGATCATCCACTTTCTCCTCCACCTTCTCCTTCTTTTCCTCCACTAAGGTTTCTTTAACCACTGCTGCTGCTGGCGCCTCCTCCCTCTCCTCAAACTGCTCCAGCAGGTTGTCCATGGGAACCACATCGTCCTCCTCACTGTTGTTGGGGGAGTCAGAGATCATGACACTCTCCATCATCTGGTCATTGAGCTTGTCCATCAGGCTCTCTGAGGGCGTGCTGTGGCTGTCCTCCTCGGGAGTGATGAAGGACTCGCCCCCCAGGTCGATGCTCTCCTCCTGGAAATGGACATCAGAGGAGGGTAGGAGGGTGGAGGCTGGCTCTGGAGGGATAGGGGCTTCACTCAGGCTGGGTTTAACCTCCACTGCCCCTGTGATGTCCAGGGTGACTGGCCTCTGGGCAGGAGTCTCGTTGTTGTCCATGCTTCTTTGCCCTGAGTAATAGCATAGCACGGGGAAATAAAGCAGATCCACAGAAATATAACATGGATTTGTAAGTATTTTGTCATGTGCGTTAAATTATAGGTAATGCATTTGGTATTTCTTATACTGGACTATAGTAGAAGTTTGTTGTGGTTGTTGCGTGATGACGATATGTTAACTGCTTAGCTAGCTAGCTAGCTAGCTATTTAACTAGCTAGCTAGCTATTTAACTAGCTTGTTAAGCTAGGTTACCGGTGCTTCAAATGGCGAAACGGATAGTATTTATTTTCATAAAAATATTAATACCAAACACTTGCTTAAAGAAATCACATGTAGCGATGCATCAGAATCTCCTGTCAAGCTGTAAACGCATAAATGTTAACAAAAAAGGGAGCTTTGTGTTACCTTTGCTTAGGAACGATGACAGCTACGGCCTGCGTTAGTTTTCCAGGAAGTGAAATGTACGGTGTCCTAGAGGAATTACATTTCATACGCAGCTGTCAAATAGGTATTCTTGAAGATTTTACGCATTTTAAACCATAAACATCAGCTTTTTCAAGACATATTTACGGGCATTTACTATACGGTCCATAAGTATTAATTTTAACGTTTGCGGAACTATAATACCGTCCAGCGAGGTGATGGACTACAAATTCAAGCAGATTATTTGTAAAACCTCAAATTAAACGTTACGCTTTCTGTCAATAATCATAAGCTTGCATCAGACGTGGGAAATGGAGGACGATGCACCTATCATATACGGCCTCGAATTTCAGGTACAGTCAGTTCGATGCATTAGCTTGATAACGTTATTGCTGTGTCAGACAACGTCCTATCTAATAATTTAACCCCAATGACAGCTGAGCTCTATTCAATGTATGTCAACATTGTTGCTTTGCAATTGTATCATTCATTTTACAATGTGTCAACTGTATCTATCTTGTTGTTTTGCCTTTCCAGGCTCGTGCACTTACTTCACAGACAGCTGAATCAGATGCCATTCGCTTCCTTGTGGGCACCCAGTCCCTCAAATTTGACAATCAGGTGAGTCAACCTACTACACAGCTGTTTATGGGCAATTCCATGTTAATGGAATTGCGCTGAGACTAAGATTTTTCACATTAAAATGTATGCCAAACAAAAACCAAAGTTCAAAAAAACCATACAACTCTATGCACAAGGACTACTTTTAACAATTTACACTGAAATGTTTACAAAAACACTGGAAGAACTGTTCAAATGCAAAATTTGGTAATACAATTTTGGTCAAATCTCCCTCAGTTTTTTGTGACCAGTTTTTCCAAAATCTGTTAAACATCTGCTCCGAATTAAGATTTAAAGATGTCTGCAGAAAATAATGGGGTGTCAGCTATGAAATGACACCTTGAGTTTGAATATTTGTATTTTAGTTATTGAACTACAGTAAGTGACGTGTATTTACACCCGGTAATAGAATTGCGGCAAAGGAACTGTGTACTACACAGAGATGCATAATTGTGGATATGAATGCCATTCTCTTCATGGTGATGTATCCTAAATAGGTACACAAAGGTAGAAATATGCAATATCCTCCTTTGCATATTTGGGCATTATTCTACACATTGGCTATTATTTTAATGAGCTCCACCCGCAAACAACAGACCAAACCAAATCTGAACCAATCATAGATGTCTATGTCTCACAAGTTTGGACATCAAAGTACAGCACAGTAGAGCTCAGTAGAGTACAGCACAGTAAAGTAGAGGATAGTTCAGTAAAGTACAGTAGAGTACAATACAGTACATTAGTGTACTCAACTCTAGTGTGCTCTACTGTGTACTGAACTGTACTGTACTGAACTACAAGGGTTTTTCTTTATTTTTACTATTTTTTACATTGTAGAATAATAGTGAAGACATCAAAACTATGAAATAACACATATGGAATCATGTAGTAACCAAAAAAGTGTTAAACAAATCAAAATATATTTCATATTTGAGATTCTTCAAATAGCCACCCTTTGCCTTGATGACAGCTTTGCACACTCTTGGCATTCTCTCAACCAGCATCATGAGGTAGTCACCTGGAATGCATTTCAATTAACAGGTGAGCCTTCTTAAAAGTTAATTTGTGGAATTTATTTCCTTCTTAATGCGTTTGAGCCAATCAGTTGTGTTGTGACAAGGTAGGGGGGTGGTATACAGAAGATAGTCCATATTATGGCAAGAACAGTTCAAATAAGTAAAGATATATTTTGATTTGTTTAACACTTTTTTGGTTACTACATGATTCCAAATGTGTTATTTCATAGTTTTGTTGTCTTCACTATTATTCTACAATGTAAAAAATAAAGAAAAAGCCTTGAATGAGTAGGTGTGTCCTAACTTTTGACTGGTAGTGTACACTCTACTCAACTTTTTATCTGTACTGTACTCTACTGTACTGTACTCTACTGTGCTTTACTGTACTGTACTGTACTGAACTGTACTCTGCTCAACTTTTTTTTCTTTAATGTACTCTACTCTGTTCTACTGTACTGTGCTCTCCAAACTTGTGAAACATAGACGTCTATGATTGGTTCAGATTCGGTCCAAACTGGAAAAAAATACATGCAGGGCTTGACATTAACCTGTTTATCCACTTATCCTTCAGACAAGGAGGTGACTGAAAATGTTGTGTTGTTTGATGCAAGAAACCACTTTGCAAAATAAAATGCATTATTATTCCCATACCATTATCAGAGAATCAGTCAAATTATGTTACCCTCTGCCTATTGGCTGCTTAGCTTATTCAAGACTGTCTCAAAATACAACACTGCCCCTTTTAAGACATAAAATAAGCTCTTTACCTGACTCGCTTTTCAAAGATGGCTAGAAATGCACACATTTTGTGCTCATGTAGGAAGCAACCACTCCCCCATTGTTGTCTAGAAATTAGCTATAACTGGGCTAATAACTCACTAACTAGCAAAGAATATGAACAAATGTGCACAGGTGGCTACATTCAGCTCTCGCTTTGATCTCAAAACAAGCACATCTACTCGCGACTGCTCGTGCTGTACACACAGTTCAGTTCAAAGTGAATGGCACAGATCCATATATGACAATGGCTATTTGCATATAGGCCTACTGCAGCTCTGATTGGTTATGGCGTACCGGTCTGTGTAGAGTACGGGCCTGAGTTGTGCCTGTCAATGCAATTCTTACCTACTCCAAAGCGCTCTGCCTACAAGAAAATATCTTGCACAGTCAGTTTTGCATACTAAGTCTTGCATAGTTCGTTTTCTTTCGGTGTTACATTGAAAGTGGCTAATATTGCGTTGATTCAAACACAATTCCCACAGTAGAGCGAAACGTTGATAGTGTTAACTAATGGGGAAAACTCTAGAAAGTTGAGTGTAGTTCAATCTCGTGCTTCTCTGCACAGTTTAGAGGGAACATTGGCCCTAATGTTGATTCTACATTCAAAGAGCATCTACGAAGGGTATTGTCAAAAAAATAATGTGTATGTTCTCCAAATGTGGAGCCTAGTTTGGAATGCAATCTAAAATTGTAAAAAAAAATGCTGTCTTTCTCCCTATGTATTTTCTATGGAAAAATCCAGAGTGGACTTGATCCTTTCTCTGATCTAGTCCTGTGGCTGCCCGTCCCAGCACCTCAAGGCCTCTAGTATTCCCAATGGGGTATTCCACTTCCACCCTAATTATATACTGTACCTCAGTGATTCCACCCAGGATTGGCCCACGTGTTGATGCAGGGCTTGGGACTCACTGATACCTCACAACTAGTTCCTTCTGGGTTTCCGCAAGACTGGATTGTAATGCAACATCTCATTACCTGTGCCATGACCATCCATGCCCCGTTCTGCTTTTTTAGCTTATTCAGGATTGGGGAGTAACTGATTACATGTAATCTGATTATAAAGATGTTACCTGCAACAGGACGTTTGCAGGAAAAAAATACATTGACACCTTTCGGTTTTCTCAATGTCACTCAATTCAGCATTGAAAAAGGTGCACGTTTAAGTTGCCCGAGCGAGTCTCATCATAAGTCAGTGATGACTATGATGATACACCAAATGGCTTTTTGTCCTCTTGTAATGCCTCTTAAGGGGAAAGTAATCAAAAAGTATCTGAAAGTAATCCGATTACGTTACTGAGTTTCGGTAATCCAAAAGTTTCATTACTGATTACAATTTTGGACAGGTAACTGTAACGTATTACATTTAGAAAGTAACCTACCCAACCCTGTTTAGTGGTACAGTACCTTCAGTAAAGTTGGTTACCTCAAGCCTTGTTCAGCAGCTGTGTGGCTTTGAGAGTTGTAGCCCTAGCAAACATGGAAGGAAGGGAGGATCATGCTAGCCGTATAGACCAGGTATTGCTATGAGGACAGGCTTAGCCTTGGCGCCTGGCACTGGGTATTGGGCTGACTCCAATTTAGTGTGTGTGTGTGGTGTCTTTTCTAGGTCATCGTGCAGATAGACAACCGACAGAAACAGTTGGCCATAAATGAGGACGAGATAATTAGTGATTTCAGAGAGGGAGAGAGGAGAGACTGATGTCTGTGTTGAAATGTTTTTGGCATCCTTTGGTGAGAAAAATTGCCAATGCTTTTTTTCGATTCTGGGATTGGCTGTTAAAAGATGTAGCTGGAGCCCATTCTGAACATATCCCTGTGGTTGGACAGACAGAAGGCGCTTATGGTTGACTCACCCACACCATGTCTTTGAGAGGCAAATACTCATAATGATTGTACTGCTGTGATGTCTGCACCAAGCACTGACAGGTGATGTTGAGAATTGTAAAAAACATTTGGGGTGTGTTTTGTACCAGCATTTCTGAGGCATTACAATCATAACAAAGACAGCAATAATTTCAGCCAATCATTATTGCAATGCTATTTCACGTACAATTATTGGAGGTTCCAGAAAGTGGACGCTTCCTTGAAGATAACTTCAGTCCCACTCTCAAGAATTGGTCACATAGAGACCCCACCTGATTGACTCTGGCTTCAGAGGCT